ATTTAGAAAATATTATTTGATTTTTTAAGTGGAACTGAAATTTATATTTAAGTTGATACTGTAATGTTATATTTAAATTAACAATTTAAGTATTTTGTCAAAATTGTTCAAAAGTTGTAGGTTTAAATTGATAATGGTTTACATAAAACAACATTTTAAATATAATAAATTAACTATAATATCTTAAAAGTTAAAGACATAACTTTATAAGTAGAAGTAAATATATTATTTTAAAATTGAAATTTAGTTTAGTTATGATTACACTTTATGTTTGATATATTTATTTAACCTTATTAATCAACTTATAATCATTATTAGAAAGACACTACAATTCATCATTTTTAACTATTTACAAAATATTTTTTTAGGTTGTTTAAGTTAAACTAAAAATTATACTTAAGTTGACCCTATAATGTTATATTTAAATTAATAATTTAAGTATTTTATACAAATTATTCCAAACTTGTATCTTTAAAATGATAATGGTTTACATCCAACAATATATTAAAGTTAATAAATTAAGTATAATATGTTAAAAGTTTAATAACATAACTTTATAAGTAGAAGTAAAGATGTTATTTTAATATTGAAATTTAGTCTATATGTGATTACACTTTAGGTTTGATCTTTATTTAACCTTATTAACCAACTTATAATAATTATTATAAAGAAATTAAAAAGTCATGAGAGTTTTAAATGAATGTGGTGAAAGGAAAAATGCATGAGGGTTTCAAATGCATGAGGTTCAAGGAAAAATGCTAGCTTTATAAGATATATAGATATAGATATAGATAGATAGATAGATAGATATAGATAGATAGGTAGATATAGATTTTACCAATGAATTGTCCAATATAACAAAAGAGAGGAGTGGGGGGGGGGGGTGAAGATATGGGGTAGAGGTAGGGGTGTGATGTTTTTTAAAGTTATATTTAATTTAAAAAAAGATATAAAAGAAATGGTGGATGACCAACGACATGACCCATTACCATATAAGCTTCCTCGACACGTCACACTTCTACATAAGCTCAGTAGTAACTAGGAAGCCGTCTAAAATTAATGAAAATGAATTAACTGACAATTAACTTGTAACTTTAATGACCTAATGTGCAAAAAATAATTTAGTGACCAAATCAGGTAAATAACAATAGTTGATTGGATATAATAACGTTTTCCTAAAAAACTACAAGCTTTGGTTTCCATCTTTCATCATAATGGGGAATGAATTCCTTATTGCCTAATTTTGTTGAGCTACAGAAAACTCTCTTTTCCATCTCGGTACATACTTAATTTGTGAGTGCTAAGTTGGTTTAAGTTCATATTCTTTCCACCAATTTTTGAGTTCATGGGTTTTGCTGGGTTGCACGTTCGACAGGGTCGTGTTCGTATTATGTTTTTCAACATGTTTATTACATGTGTTGTGTCCGGATCTATCATTCTCAACTCGATACGAACTTGACACTACACAACCCATTTTCCACCCTTAGTAGTGCCTATGTGACACCAAATGTTAGCGCCAATTTAAGACACCATGTCTTTAACTTTAGTCATTTTATCTTAAATAATCATAAAATATTCCAAAAAATAAAAAATACGACTTCTTAAAAACTCATTAAAAACAAAAATAAAATAGTATCATAAAATATTCCAAAAAATAAAAAATTTGTCTTCTTAAAAACTCATTAAAAATAAAAATAAAAACTATTTTTTTACATTTACCAAATACTTTTTTAAACTTATTTAAAAAAAATGAATAAGTGAATAAGTTATTTTAAAACTCAATACCAATTCCCAAACCTTTTGTTTTTCACAGTTAAAATCGAACAAACTCTCACCACCATCACTTTATATATATCGTCGATCACTACCCCACCATCACTTTATATATATCGTCGATCACTACCCTATCCTCTCCAGCTCCCCAACACTACGAGGGTGTTTGGCAAAGGTTATTTAAAAAGATTTGTGACTTTTTTATTTATAACTTATTTGATGAAATAAGGAGTTTTTAATAAGTAAACGGTAGGTACTTATCACTTTTTAATTTATTAGAGGTCACCAACAATTTTAAAATACTTTTTTTTATTACTTATTCCAATATCAAATCGATATTTTTTTTACTTGTTCCGGTATCAAACAATTTTTTTTCTTATTAAAAACTTCTTATTTCACTGATATTTTTTTACTTGTTCCAATATCAAACCGATATTTTTTTTTACTTGTTCCAATATCAAACCAATATTTTTTTTACTTATTCCAATATCAAATCGATATTTTTTTTACTTGTTCCGGTATCAAACAATTTTTTTTCTTATTAAAAACTTCTTATTTCACTGATATTTTTTTACTTGTTCCAATATCAAACCGATATTTTTTTTTACTTGTTCCAATATCAAACCAATATTTTTTTTACTTATTCCAATATCAAACCGATATTTTTTTACTTGTTCAGGTATCAAAATTGCAATGAACCTGCGCTGCCTTCTCCGTTCACCTTCGAAGTGTGCCCGACATCCGGTGACTCCTTAATTTCAGGCGGCTATTTCACATCCAGTAAGCTCTCTTATGCTTATTATGCAATTTTGATTATCGTTTGGGGAAGATTCTGGGACCGCCCCCATGACCTAACTTCTTGCCATAGTTTTGGTTTTTGATGCTTGCCTGAAGGAAACATGTTCATTCATGGTTTTCCCCATAAGATAATTCCGATTTGATCTTGTATTTTTATTGGGTTCTCATTTAATTTACCTTTTTTTTGGACTGGAGGTGATGAACAAGACGAGTCCTAATTTGGTTTAGGTTAAAGTTCTCTTCTTTTATTGGTTGTCTCTGTAAATATATGGGTTATTTGTTCTTAGATTTACGGTCACCCCTTTGTTTCTTTCTTCAGGTTGTAACCAATGCCAAAAATATCAAAATCTGTCAATATTTTTGTTATCTAGGATGATTATTCTAGTTTGTTGCCTACCCATATAAAAACACCCGAATAAATGCTCCACAAATAATTTTATGTAAACTAAATGGAACAACTATAGAAAGCAACATATCCGTTTGTAGATTTATTCATCTATTTGATAAAAGACCCATAGAAATTCATGTGACTTCAATAAGTATTTTCTTTTTTTCATAATTCAGAAAATTTATGACATATGGTTTATCATTTCAGGTATAAGAATTTTATATAATCTGTTAACTAAAATAACTTAACAAAGACCAGTGTTAAATTCTCCATGGGTCCAATTTGTTGAGGTAAAACCAGTGAAGCAGGTGGCTACCTTTGATTCTTAAGCCATGAAGTACTTTAAGTACCATACAGATCCTTCATTCTCAAAATGGTGGATCAATTAAGAACTTGACCTAAGTTTCTAAAATTGCAAGAAAAAAAGAGCATGAATGAAAATTTAACATAAAATTGCAAAGTTTATTGATACAATTACTTTGCTAACATTAGTTGGATGAGTTCTGAGTTGAACAAAAGCTTTTGGACCAAAAGATAGCAAAGGTCTATGAACATGCTGTATTGGCAATAAAGGTTTACAAAATTAAGGTTTGTTTGGTTGGATGGAATAGAATGAACCATTCATATTTTGTTACCTTCCAAACTTGTATCTATTACCTACTATTAAATCAAATTTAGCCATTCCCAGATGATTACTACTACACAATTTGTGATAGATATTAGGTAACTGAGAAAATAAATTTTGGTTAAATCTTTTCTCAATTTCAAATATGTCAAACAAAAAGAAGATAAAAATAAAAATCAGTTAATCAAACTATCGGGGTTGGTTTAAAAGCATCATCTCTTTTTGGGTTTTTGTGGCTTCGTATAATAGCAACGTGCTTCCGTTAAATTCATCAGGTCTTTTTTATTTTATTTATTATTATTATTTTTTATCCTAATGATTCTTGGGACTTAGATGCTAACTTTAGGTCTTCTCTTCCCTTATCTCAAATTTTTAAAAAGCAGTCCTATATGTATGTATTATGACCTTGTTTTTCTTAGTTTTCAGTAAAGATACTGATGTTCTTTCCTCTTTCTCTCTCAAATGTTTATATCATATATCTTGGCATTTTTTTAGAGTAGGCTTAATCAAGTACTACCCACGTCCACTTAAAAGGTTATGCTTTCCTCAAAAAAACAAATTAACTATGGTTTTTGATCAGAAAAAAGAGATGTATATGAATTTTTTGAATTTTAAGTTTTCAATCTAATATGTAGACCGTTATTTGCATTTGTTTGTTACTTTATTACTGTGGTTATATGTTTTCAACTTTCATTTTTTTTCCTTATTAGAACATCATATTTTAAAAACTCTACCCAACTTGTACGCATTTTTAGATGAAGAGTGTCACGGACCAAGTTTCTGGAAAATTCTACAATCGTCTAGAGAACTCTGGAACGATCAAGTATACTCGAGAAATCTCCGGAGAAATCAAAAATGCTCTACGAGACCCTGGAAGGTGCTAGAATATTATAGATGTCCATGGAATTAAGGAGAACGATCCGGAATAAATGATGAAGGCACTAGAAGAAATTAGAACGACCCAAAAGACTTTGGAAGGATCTAGAACATGCTAGATCATACAAGAACGATTTGGATAATGTCGGGAAGACTTAGAGATTTCTAGAGCATCATATACAAGTTTACAATATTCTAAAGTCTTGTAAAATCCATGTATATAATAGGAAGAGTCTAGATTAGTCATGAATGATCGGGACCTAGAAACTTCCATTTTAGGAGGTGTAAGGTTCCTATAAATAGGGGGGAGGACTCATTTGTCAAAACCATCAAGAAGTTGCCTTGTAAAGAAGTTGAGTTATATAATAGAAGCTTTATTGAAGTGTCCCTTGTCGTAACTCTTGCTTCCTAAGTTCGTTAGTACATCTAGCTCGTCGAAGTTAGCCTGACTTAGTCGGAGAAAATACTAAGTGGCACACAGTGATTGAAGCATCCCGTGACACGTGGTATCAGAGCCGGAGTTCGTACAAGCAAGAGATCATGACTACGGAAGCAGGAAGTAGTGAAGTCGCAAGCGTGCCCCCTGTCGTCGAGGAGAAAGGAAGAAAGTCCAGGAAGAGGGACCAATCGATAGATGCCTTGGCAAGCCTAGAGAACAAGCTTACAAGGACAGAGATTAACGTCGGTGAGATCCTTGAATGGAAGGATACCGTCGATCAGTTCGTTGTCGAGATCCTTGAACTCAATATCAAAAGATGAGATAAAATCTTCTAAGAAGGAAGAAGATAAAAGAGGGAGTCTCATGTTCGTCGAAGTTAAAGTGAATGCAAGGAACACTAATGCGCTAGTAGATTCTGGAGCAACCCATAGTTTCATCGCAGAGGAAGAAGCAAGGAAGTTGGGTATTCATTATACAAAGGAGTTAGGTCGGTTGAAGGTTGTCAACTCTCCATCTAATCCGATCCTCGGAGTTTCTCGTGGAATACCCATGAAGATCGCAGAATGGGAAGGGACCATCGACTTGATAGTGGTTCCGATGGACGACTATCGCATGGTACTAGGAATGGATTTCCTGGATATGGTATGTCCTTGGTCGTTCGAAAGAGACAACACCCTGCGTATAACCAAGGGATCAACTATCCATATAATTCCCTTGGAAAGAAGAAAGACAAAAGCTCGATCCCTTTCAACTATGAAGTTGTGTTATGACAAGAACAATATAATCAAGAAGAATATGAAGCCAAAACGGGAAGTTCGAATAAGCGAGGCACGTTCGAAGGAACAGGGATCCATATCCTACATGAAGAGTTACTCAAGGTTTTACGAGGATGAGAGAAGAAATAGGAATCAAAGTACATCGAGAAATAAAAGCACGCCTTGCTCGAAGAGATACTTTGGAGAAAACGAAAAGACACAAAGTAGCCCCGTGACAAGATCAAGACATATGTATAGAAGACTTGACGAGGACGTCAAGGGTTTAAGTGGGGGAGGGTGTCACGGACCAAGTTTCTGGAAAATTCTACAATCGTCTAGAGAACTCTGGAACGATCAAGTATACTCGAGAAATCTCCGGAGAAATCAAGAATGCTCTACGAGACCCTGGAAGGTGCTAGAATATTATAGATGTCCATGGAATTAAGGAGAACGATCCGGAATAAATGATGAAGGCACTAGAAGAAATTAGAACGACCCAGAAGACTTTGGAAGGATCTAGAACACGCTATATCATACAAGAACGATTTGGATAATGTCGGGAAGACTTAGAGATTTCTAGAGCATCATATACAAGTTTACAATATTCTAAAGTCTTGTAAAATCCATGTATATAATAGGAAGAGTCTAGATTAGTCATGAATGATCAAGACCTAGAAACTTCCATTTAAGGAGGTGTAAGGTTCCTATAAATAGGGGGGGAGGACTCATTTGTCAAAACCATCAAGAAGTTGCCTTGTAAAGAAGTTGAATTATATAATAGAAGCTTTATTGAAGTGTCCCTTGTCGTAACTCTTGCTTCCTAAGTTCATTAATACATCTAGCTCGTCGAAGTTAGCCTGACTTAGTCGGAGAAAATACTAAGTGGCACACGGTGATTGAAGCATCCCGTGACACGAGGCTATATATTTAGGGAGGTGATACTTCCACGGATCTTTTTGATACATCCACTTAATTTTAAATGAAAATGACAATTATGCCCCTAATATGTATTTAGAATATAATTAATTATTCAAAGGAAGGGGATAATTTGTATCAAAACAATTAAAGTATAATACGTCTATGCTGGTCTTTCTCCAACGTTGCAATCTTCACTACAATCCACCCCAAATTTCTGATTCTTTTTTACGACAATCTTTAGCTTGCAATTCCTTCCAACTCTACTCAACTTGCTGATTCCGCCACCATCATTCTCATTGAATACCCTCCGCTGTTCCAATTTCTCATTTCAGATTGTCCGTACAGAAAAAGGAAGATAGTTAGGAAGAGCCGAAGAGGGAAAGAAAACTTACACCGATGGGCTGAAAACGATGAGGGGGAACTGGTTATTGCCGACGTATGGAACGGTGATGGTAAGCAGTAAGCACGAGGCCTACACTTGTGAGACTGATACAAGTGCAAAACATGAGCAGTGCATTTTCCCTCTGCTCGGATTCAAATTCAAATCTGTTGCAAATTACATCAAATCGAAGATACAATAAAAAGAAAACCATCATAAACTCGAAGAAATTCATATTATGGTGATGAATTATATGATTATTTTTCCTTTAGCCAACACTAAGAAATTGTTGCGAGCGAAAAGGAAAGAATTTCTCCGACGATCTGTTTAGGCGCATTTTCTTTCCTTCCTTTTGTTCCTCTATGAATGTATATTGCACCACCTGAAAAAATTTCTCCGGCTACTGTTGCAGTCTCATGAAGCGGCGTAATATAGACGACGACGGCATACACAAGCATAAACAAAGGGTTGTAAACGGCGATTGTTTGCAACCTCATAAAGCGATGAGTAGATCTCAAGAGGATACTATCACCTCTTCTACACCCCGTGGCTGATAATAGAGATTGGGAGCTTTCTCGTGTTTTTCAATTTGGATGGAAGATTGAGAGATTTGATAAAAGAATTGTTTCCTTTTTTTAATAAGCGGTCTCCGAGTATTGAGAGACGGTTGATTAACCTTTTTAAACAATTAATTACATTCTAAAGGGCATAGTTGTCATTTTCCTTGTAATTCCGTGGATGTATCAAAAAGTATCTTAGAAATATCAGCACCCATATATTTAGGTCCTGTGTGTTTAACTGTTAATTGAAAAATTAATAGGCAAACTTTTAAAAATTTAGATTTGAGGTGTTTGGTAGCCGCTTAGAAAATACCTCTTAATTGCACAAATGCCCTCTTAAAAACCTCTTAAAAAATCAGACATAAACCCGTGTCAAAAATAAAAAGAAACAATTGTGCCCCGGATAAAACTTCGCTTTTTCTTTTCTCATACGCACGCCTTTCTCTTCAACGCCACTTCTCTCTTCGGCCCCTTTCTCTTCCAACTCCGACCTGTTGCCTCCTTCCGACCTGCAACGCCACTGGCGCTGTCGGCTTCGCCTTCGCCTCCGTCACCTCTTTCGCCTCTGACAACTTTTGCAGGTAAAGTCTTTTTTTTCTCTTGCTATGTAATTCGAGTTTAATGCTTGAAAATCAATTATCATAGTTGTTTCCTCTAAAATTTGAAGATCAGAGCATCATTTGCTTTTTTTTTTCTCCCTAAAATCAAAGCAAGGTTTCCTTTTATTCCCCTGAAATTAGGGAATCGTTTGAAAATCTGATGATGTTGTCTTCATGTTGAATCATATGTTATCGTTGTCTTTCTCACTAATTTTTACAATTTTTTCATAATTAATCAAGTTCTGTATATGTCAAGAGCAATTGCGTCCTCACATCAACACTTCTCAATTTCCCTTTTGCTATGGTTTGTATATTGCATTTTGTAAGATCTTTCTAGTGAATTGTTCATTGTATGTACATGGATAATGGTGAATTGAGAGTTTAGGTTATTCAACACAACTTATAACCTTACCTGTTAAAGATTGTTTGGGAGAAGAAGTATGGGAGGGTGTACAACATAAGTATTGACATGTCGAGATACATATTATCTTCTTGTTTGTTAATCTTTGGAAGACTCTGAATGGTATGTACTCTAGAGACATTTTTGTTGAATTAATAGCAATTGAGTTATTGTAGTTTTCATGTTTTTGATAGCTATATCTTTTTTTACTAAAGATAAATCGAGAATAACTGTTTAGTATATATATCTTCACTGAAAGCAAGTGAATGAATGTTTCACTTTATGTTTGAGCAATACTATGTCATGAGTTTAAGCACCAAAAATAAATATGATAAGCTTATATGTTTCTTTGTTGAATTTGAATTTGTAGGTTAAACTGTTTGATTTGGAGACATGTTTTTGTCGATTTGAAAATATTAATGTTTTATTTGGATTTTGTGTTTAATTTGGATTTTGTATGGTATTTATATTTTTTTTTTTGTAGTTATTCAAGAAGTTGATTCAGCAAAAAATAATATAGAAGGGTATACTGGTCATTTTTATCATTCATCACAGTAATTCAGAGGTTCCAACCAAACAGCATGTTAAAAATTCAGATCTTAAAAATTTAAACCACTTTGCGCAGCTATTCATAGATGCATACCACAACCACAACCACGTTAATGATCGCTTTTTAAATCGTTACCCAATCAGTTGAGATACAATTTCAGTTCTGCGATCAAACACGTTGTAGGCTCGTTTAATTAAAATTAAGTCAAGATTATGTATAATTTAGACACTATTTTTTTTAATTATCTTCTAGACATTCTTCTGTTATGCATAGTGAAATCAGACACTTGTTTTATTTTCCTCTTCATGGACAATTACTTAATTTAGGTCAAATGGGGGAAGAAGAAATAAGAGATGATGGGTTAAATAATCAGAAAGAGACCGTTGAATTGGCCTCTGAGTTTACTGCAATAGAGGATATAGACATGAATCAAGCAGAAGACAGTAATGCTGAAGAAGAAGAAGATGATGATGATGATGATGATGATGATGAAGATTCAGAGGAGCCATATACATTAAGATTTGAAGGGGATATAGATCCCTTGGCTCTCACAGAGGTGGATGCTTTTGGAGTTGAGCCTTATGAGTGTTTGGAACGCATGGAGAATGAGTATGAAGCCTTGGCTGCTAAAAAGCGTAAAGCAAACCTCAGTTACAACCATGAAGGGTAATTATTATTATTTTTTTGTATCACTTTCCATGTCATATGTTTCCATCTCATGAACTGGGCCTTCTTTATGCAACCTTGTGGATTAAGCACAAGCTTATATTGATAATTGATATGATACTATCTAACATTTAGAAATTTTGTGCATTGTGCCAGAATGCCACCAGAAAAGAAGTTGAGACAAGAGGATTTCCCTGGTGCAAACTTTGAAGAATTATTGGCGGAAATGACATATGGAATGAGAAGAAAAAGAAAGGTATGCTAGACTTTCTTTTCAGGGTTGATTCCTAGTCCTACTATTACTATTTTTTTTTCTTTTTTAATGAATGTATAGTTGCAACATTCATTAGTTAGTCTCTTGTTGCTACCTGTATTATTATGTCAACTTGTGATTTTTGACGAATATGAATTCTGGCAGATTAAGAAAAGAGGTAGGAGGAAGGGATCAAAGAGAAAAGTTAGTCCAGAAATTACACGAAAATTAGGTGATGCTACACTCTTGTATGCACATGGGCAATATGAGGAGGTACAATGTTATAGTATTACCTTTGGTTTCCTTGTATATACCTTACCTTTTGAGGGTGTTTGGATTCCTCAGGAATTGGAATTCAGTTCCATTTGATTTCACTAAATCCCACCAGTGATTCCATAAATTAATGTTATTTCAGTTCCAATCCTACCTCATTTCTACAAAATGACTGATATATGGCTATACGCAATCTAAGCCATATTTTTAACGTTTTAGTATGCTGGTTTCTTCTTATTATCATCAAATTTTGTAGTTGGATCTCATTTCATCTTCTGCCAACCAAACGTGTGACAGATTCTCTTTCAAACAAAAAAAAACATCAAAACTTGGGAAACGTTTTCTTATCATTTGTTATTTCATGCTTCCATTCTCTTGGTTGTGTTTATATTTTTTGTGCTCATTTTGTTGTTGGTAATGAAATGATGTTAGGCCATACCTATACTGAGGGAAATCATTCGTGTTTCACCGAATCTGCCTGATTCATACCATACACTTGGTCTTATATATAATGCCATTGGGGATAAAATGAGATCCGTTAACTTTTATATGATTGCTGTACATTTGACACCCAAGGATGCATCTCTCTGGAAGCTACTCGTCACTTGGTCTTTGTGAGTTTTCTTCCAACATACTTAAATGTGTATATATATTCTTAGATGCATTTTTCTACTGAAAAGAAGAATATAAAAATGAGGCGTGATAAAATGCAGGGAACTAGGGAACCGTAAACAAGCCTGGTATTGTCTTGACCGAGCAATAAGGGCAGATCCGGAAGATGTGAGTCTTAGATATCACCGTGCCTCAGTTCATGTTGAGCTTAGAAACTATCAGAAGGCTGCTGAATCATATGAGCAAATCTGGCAACTTCGTCCTAAAAATGTTGAAGCATTGAAGACAGCAGCAATGGTTTGGTTTGGATTTACAAATCTATATATATTATTGGAATGGGAATGAATTAACTGTTTTGGTATTTTCAGATGTACCAAAGATGTAGTCAGCATGAACGCATTGTCTGCATTCTTGAAGAGTATTTGAGAAAGAACCCAAAAGATGCTGATCTGAGTGTGGTTCATTTATTAGCTTCAATGCATATGTTGGGAAATGCACATGAGAAAGCTCTTCACCATATTGAGTATGCACGACAGAATTATTCTGCTGGTAAAGACTTACCTGTTGAGCTGTTGGTTCAAGCAGGGATATGCCATGTTCATCTTGGAAACATGGAAAAAGCACAGGTATTTTTTTTTTCAAAAAAAAAAAAAGGATTCCTTTATATTTCATGGATTGTAATAAGAAGAAATGCAAGTGTAATGCTTGCTATAATAGAATTTTTTGTGGAAAGAACATTACTATTTCTTATATTTATCCCTTGACTGTGCTCTTTGAAACTAACCCCTCTTTCTCTTTTTTTTTTTTGTCAAATGTTTGTAGGCTTTCTTCGGTGTGTTCACACATGAGACTGTAAATGATTATTCTCACTTAATTATTGAAGCTGCTGACTCATTAATGATTGCAAAGCACCATGAATCCGCATTGAAGTACTACCTGATGTTAGAAGGGAATGATGGTGTCAATAAAGTAAGTAAATAACCTTGATTTCTTGTCTGTGCAAAAGACGTAAATACCCTCATGCTGATTGTGTTTGGTGTATCGGACTGGGACAAAAATTGCACTTTTTAAAAGGTGTAGCAAGACTCTCGTCTATGCAAAAGACGTAAATACCCTCCCCATGCCCATGCCCATGCCCATGCCCATGCCCATCATTGGAAATATCTCTAAAAAGCTTGTCTGTGCACTCCTTCCTGGTATAGCAGATGAAGTCTAATGTCATGGATAACTTTATATGTTTTTGAATCTGGACCTTTTCTAGTATGGAAAGGGAATGCTCAATGCTCAATGCTCCATGTGGGAGAAGGGAATATTTTATTTAAGCCTAGAGTCTTGTTGATTTCTAATTTATGTGATTTTTTGTATTGAATTGGGTAAAGGGACTACTTTATTTTAACATCGGGCGTTGTTACTCCTTCTTAAGTTCAAGAACACAAGCAATTGACTACTTCTACAAAGGTACCACATGATTCAGATTCATCATCTATAGTAGTGAGTTCTGAATATCAAAACATGTTCTTCAGTTTATATGAGTAGATAAAAACTTAAAATTATTGTTTACTCACATTCAGTCTGAAAAAGAAATACTTTTTTTATGTTGTGAAGCTACTGGAAAGCTTTATGAATCTTTTTCTAAATGAACTTTTTGTTTCACATTTGATTGAAGCGTTGATATCTCAGAGTAAAATATTTATTGGTAATTGTATTTTCTTGACAGCTCTACATGAACATGAAGACAACATTGATGCTAGGTTGGAACTAGTGTCAGTTTTGTTATTAGTAGATAAGGAAGATGAAGCCATTTCTGTACTTTCTCCACCTTCTGATTCAGGTTTGCTAGATTTTATTTTAAGGAGTTAATAAATAATACTCAATTTGTTCTTATCTAATTGTTTACATTTTCAGAATCAAGAGTTGATGGAACCTCTGATGCCGATGGGGTTGGGGTGATGAAACCTTGGTGGACTGACAAAAATATAAAGTTAAAGCTTTGTTATATTTATAAATCCAAAGGTTTGACCGAAGCATTTATTGATGCAATATTTCCATTGGTTCGTGAAACATTGTTTCTTGAAACTATTCAACGAAAGGTGATTTTGCGCAACCTCTTTTTAACACATAGTGTTGAGTAATCATTTATTACTTTTCTACTATCGATCATAAAAAAATATTCTTACTTAATCAAGTGCTATTTGCCTTTCTAGGTGGAATTTAAGACAATGGTTTACTTTTCAGCTTTAAATTCATTCATGTGAATTATTTTAAACTTTCTATAAAATGAAATTTTACATTAAGTTTTATAAGAAATATAGTGTGAAGTGTAAACTTTATATATTGTTTTGAACTTGAAATGTAATCCATATGACTCCAAAACATATGTGTTTCATTCTCCTCAAACTGCAGAAGTATGTATTATAATTACTTTGTATGTTTATTTACTACTCATATTTGTTTTGTTATTAAGGAGTATTTATCACCCCCTTACATGAAATAAAGCATTTTATATCCTTGGTACATTGAAAATTGTATTTACATTTTGGTTGATTTTCCTTTACACTTGTCTTCTAGATTAATTTTTTATGCTCACTTTTTTCCAAAAAAGTTCATATGTGCACTGTATGACTTTCCATTCAGGATATTTAGAGAAACTGAAACATCCAAGCATTTCACTTTACGTTAAAGATGCATATTTCATATGTTTTGATAGATATTTGATTTATTAGGTTAGACCAAAGAAAAAGCTACCAAAAAGTGAGCTGCATAAAAGAGCTGAGGTATTAGATGAACATCAACCTGACAATTTATTTCAAGGATTCCGCCCTATTGCTTCTTCTTCAGATCTGTAAGTCTTGCATATCCGTTCTTTATAGATTATTGTTATTATTATTAAAGAGTGATTTTATTTTTTGCATGCATTGCTTGGAATAATTAATGGTGAACAGGTCGAAAGCTTCTAGAGCAAAGAAGTTGCTGAGGAAAAAAGCAGCAGAAAGAGAAGAAAGGCGAGCTGCAGCATTGGCTGCTGGAGTTGAGTGGCATAGTGACGAATCAGATGATGATTCTCCTGTAAGTATGCATGTTAAACGGATAAATGAGTATTATATATTATTTTCTTTACATTTCAAGTTTGTTGTAGCGTATTATAATTGAAAATCTTGATCTATTATTCTTATGTAATAAATCATTAAATTGTGTCATGTCATGTGGCAGGTATATAGAGAACCTCCCCTGCCTCATCTCTTAAAGGATGAAGAACATCATAGGCTCATTGTAGATGTAAGTGCTTCTTGTGGAAACCTGTAATTATGTTTATGTTCATATAATGGAAACATGAATTCTTATATAATTATATTTCTCAATGTTAAGAAAGGTGGATAATGTTCATGTATATTGTTGAGGATAATGTATATAGTTGATGATTTCCAGTTGCTATTGTGAGTTGGGTTATTGCATAAGGATAAATATAGAAAAGCACAATGCAATTATGAAGTACCACCATTTTATTTAATTTAGCCATTTACATCTGTATAAAATTTAGGGTAACATGCAGAAAAAACCCAATGCGCTTTTTATCAAAGAAATGATTATAACTTTGAAAGTTAGAAATGTATGTCTGTGCACAAAACCAGGAAAAGCAGAGTTTTTAATAAGTTAGAAATATAAATGTTTAATCACTGTAAGTGGGTAACCTACAGTCCTACACCTACCTGTAGAATTAGAATCTTTCCAGATTAAATGCCATTAATGATGGATGATGATACATGCTTTTATTTGTAGCTGTGCAGAGCATTAGTATCAGTGCAAAGATATTGGGAAGCACTTGAAATTATCACTTCAACCCTTAAATTGGCACAAAACACTCTAACAACAGACAAACAAGAGGAGCTTCGTTCACTTGGAGCACGTAAGTCTTAATAAATATCACATGACACTACCAAACATCCTACCTACATACATTTCTAGCATTGGGTTTTCAGAAAATCTCCTTATTAGGACATTGTACTTTGAAAAGCTATGATGGTAGATGACACTGCTAGATATTTCAAAGTACAATGAAAGTAAGATGCTATATGATTATTTATTTATTTATTTATTTTTTTAAATTCCTACAGAGATAGCGTATAATATTGATGGTCCCACGAATGGATGGGATTGTGCCCGATACATCATTACCCAAAACCCTTATAGCTTTGCAGCCTGGAACATCTACTATAAAATTATGTTAAGGTATACTACATACTTACTTTATCATCATATATGCATATTTTTACATCATCACATCTTGTTTCTTTTTATTTTCCCATTATTTGATTAATGACGCTTAAAAATATCTGCACACCAGGGGCAGATTTGTAAAAGATTACGACTTATTCCTTTACTTTGTCTACTAAGTTGTTCTTTCTGCATTAAGTTAAAAAGATAGCTTGCCTTACATTATTTACAGGATCAAGTCCTTGTTGTGGATAAATACGCTGAATTGAAAATAATGTTTACGTTCTTTTAATCACACACAGATCGAGGCTGGATAAGCATAATAAATTTTTGCTTGAAAAGCTTGCGAAACATGAAGATTGTGTGCCAGCACTTTTAATAAAAGGACATGTATTTACAATGCATAGCCAGCATCAAGTAGCTGCAAGATATTACCTGAAAGCATATAGATTGATGCCAGAGAATGCTTTGCTAAATCTTTGTGCTGGTATGTATTTCTTTTCTTTTCTCTCAATAGCATATATTATATTTGTTTTTAATTTCTATATAGCATAATTAATGAATTGCTCTTGTTTCACTTGGTATTTTTTTTTTAATCTTAAAGGAACTGCCCTAATCAATCTAGCCCTTGGATTGCGACTTCATAACAAGCATCAATGTGTCTTGCAAGGCTTGGCTTTTCTCTACAACAATCTTCGCCTTTCTGATAACAGCCAGGTCTTCATCATTCTCCTTCATTTCATTATAAAATGTTACATTTTATTCGTTATGTTGTTTTTTATTTGAGTATATTTCTTGTGGCATTCCTGTTGTCAAGAAATACAAAAACAATCTTTCACAACATCATAGGGAACATACAAATATTGTATAAGAAAAATAGAAAATATCATGCAAATACCGTTATCTCCTATTTGAGTCAAATATGAGTTGAAACATGGAAATGATATATTTAATAGAATAGAATAAAGTCTAGACTTGTGTGGCCATTATACTTGTTTACAAACTATGCTAAAACAGAAAGCAACTTAGGGTGCGTTTAGTTGCGGAAAAATGGACCGTTTTCCGGAAAAATTTTCCAAGAAAAATGAGAATTTTGAAAACACGCTTAGTTCGTCTATTTTTCACGGAAAATGAAAATTTTCCGTTTTCTAAAATTACAAAGAAGTTGGAAAATTTTGGAAAACTGATAATCATTGTTTTCCATATTTTTCTAATTCCAAAATTTTTCTATAAACACACACCCACTCCACCCCATCCACCTCTACCTACCCTCACCTTAACATCCCCCACACACACACCCGCACACGCACACCAACCCACAAACACACACATACATACATACATACATACATACCCACTCACACACACACACCAACCCACACACACATACATATTCACCCACACACACCCACCCACATACATACATGCCCACACACACACACGGACACATCGACCCGCGCACACACACACACACACACAAACCCACACACATACACATACATACCCACCCACAAACACACACATATATACCCACCCACCCACCCACACACACCCACACACCCACCCACACACATACACATACATACCCACCCACACATACACCCACCTACAAACACACACACACACACACACACACCCACCTACCCGCACACACACATACACATACATACCCACACACACACACACACACACCAACCCCCCCCCCCCCCCCCCCCCACACACACACACACACACACACACACATACATACCCATCCACACACACACCCACAAACACCCACACATACATACCCACACCCACCCATACACACACACACACCAACCCACAAACACACACGCACATACATACCCACCTACACACACATCCACACACTAACCCACACCTACCCCCACTCCCACCCTTACAGACACACACACCCACACACACACAAACCTACACCTACCCCCACAAACACACACTCGCACCCCCACCACCCAACACCACCACGACAATCACCGACCTACCATCACCACCACCACCACCACCGTTGCCGCCACCATCACCACCACTGACATAATTGTCGCTGCCACCACCATCGCCTGTCATCACCACTACCGCCGCCGACCCGCTACCGTCACCACCACCACCCACTCCTTACCACCGCTACCGTTTTTTAAAAATGAAATCCGATAGAAAAATACACATCTAAACACGTTTTCTAATTTTTTAAAACTGAAAATGAAAAATGAATAAGTTTAACTAAACGCGTTTTCTAAATTTTTCAATGAAAAATAAAAACGGAAAACGAAAATCGAAAAGGGAAAACAAAAAATAAAAAATGAAAATTGTTTTTCCGTAACTAAACGCAACCTTAGTGTTTTTTTTTTTTTTTTTTTTTTTTTTTTTGTTTGACTTGATGACTTAATCCGGTAGGCTATATAGGGATGCTTCTCACTGACTTATTGTGGAATGAATGTCTTAATAGGGAAAGCCAGGAAAACAAGATTTTCTCTTATAAAAAGAATCAGATACCACATTTATTATATAATTGCTCATCAAGGACAGTTTATCCTAAACAGTAGATTTTTGGTTGTAAAGTAAACTAGTGGCATAAGATGAGTGAGAAATGAGATGCAATGACCATATAACTGAATTTAGAGTTAAATGCAAGGAATAGCAATCATTTGTATATTATTACACCTTACAGCCATTTCTTTCTATTATGGCATTGTACTTACAGTTTATTTTGAAAAATGTACCCAATCAAAGCATCGTACTTTCATAATTCTTCATATTATGACATTATACTTTGTATAATTGGGTTGCTTTTTCAAAGTGCAATGCCTTAATAGGAAGAAATAAGAGTAAACAAATCAATGGAAGTAGGTTGTTATTTCTTGCATCTAAAACCATAACTGAAGTGGCTTTTGGAAATGTTTTTTTGTATTACAGGAAGCTTTATACAACCTAGCACGAGCCTATCACCATGTTGGTCTTATTTCACTTGCGGCTACATGCTATGAGAAGGTGCTTACAATTCATCAAAAAAGATCACCCAATTCCAAAGCTCCCCAATGATGGTCTACAACCCACACATGACTTAAAACCCGGATACTGTGACCTTAAAAGAGAAGCAGCTTATAATTTGCACCTCATTTATAAAAATAGTGGGGCCATGGATCTTGCCAGACAGCTGCTTAAAGACCACTGTACTCTTTAACTTAGGACCTGTGTATATATGTAATGTATATTACTTTTTCAGCTTACTTACTACCCTAGAGTTTTTTGCTATTTGTTGGCTTTTATCCCAAGACTTTATTAACACCTAGGATAAGTGGTTATATTAACAGGAAAGTGTATGCAACTTGTGTTGGCTCTGGCTTTGTTAGAAAAGTACGCACATAACACCTTAATACATGGAAAAATACTTCAGTTGCTTGTTTGTTTGCTTACTCGAGGCATATGACAAAACAAGTTGCACTGTGTGTTTCTACATTTCTTTTTGTTTACTAAGGCATTGCACTTTGAAAAATCAATCAATTTTGAAAATTGTACTTTTTCATTTTTTTTTTGACATGCTAAGAAACATCCATCAATTTTAGCAATGAAAATTGTCATAATTGAATGACATTGCTGTAATTGGGTGAATGTTTCAAATGTTGTAATAGGAAATAATAAATGTAAACGAATGAAAATATGTTAACCCAACATAACATATGATCAAACACCTTGTCATAAAATCAAAAAGTATAGATTACATGAGTGGCATTTGATTGTGATGATGAAGAGCTGAAATTTGGGGTTTACAGGGTTGGGGTTCGTTCAATGTTTCCAGAAATAACAGTTAGAATGTTGTTTCCAAAGGGATCGCTCAAGTGAGAAGCTAGGTTTTCAACAGGGCCCTGTCCAGTCACATACGCTTGGATGAAGAACGCAAACATGGAGAACATTGCTAGTCTACCATTCTTGATCTCTTTCACCTTCAACAATGCAAACTGGTCTGGATCATTAGCCAATCCCAATGGGTCAAATGGGCCACCAGGGTGTAGCTTGTCCTCAAAATCCTGTACATAAATAAATTAAAACCTCCCAAAATTAATTAATCACGGAAGGAATACAATATTCTGAAACAGTTGGTTATTTATTAATTCTATATATGATTCATACCAAGCCGTTGGTGATTCTGTAGTATTCAGCACCACCAACAAGAACAACCTCTGCAACGACAGCCAGGACGAGGTTAATGGGGATGTTCTTCCCAAAGTAATTCAATGTGTTCCCATCAAGTAGTAGAGCACCCGTCTGCATCCATATACCCAAATAAACTAAACTCGTTAAAGTTTTAGTCTTTAATTAATTAGTTATTTCAGCATGATATATATGATATGTGATACGAACCTTGAACCAGACAGCTTCAGGGCCACAGTTGGCACCATACTTGTTGAAGGCCTCGGGAATGATGCAACCCGCGGCACCCAGCATAGCCCATCGTGCATGAATAAGCTCGAACGCTTGGTATCTGCATACCATATCATTACTTGTTGTAATTAACTTAGAGACAGCAATGACTGTGTCAATGTGTGTGTGTGTACACAGAAATATATACAGAAAACCAAACTCAGTTGACAGTTGGTTGATCATAATCGATTTTCCCCAATCGAGTTGACTCCATAAACTATAATCTATTATCTTGAGTAATTGATCAGTGGGAACTTACTTGGCAAAGTCTTCTGGTTTCTTGCCAAGTCCAAAAGGATCATAACCATAACTGCATATGAGATGATGAAAAAAAGTCATTAGGTAATTGACTTACTTGTGAATGTAGATGGTAGTGTGTAATTAGGTAATTGACTTACTCTCCGGCGACTTCCCCATTGAGGTACTCTGGGATTTCCGACCGGTCCAAAAGACCTTCGGGCAAGAATATTCTTCTCTCAGGACCTGTAATTATTTCAGATAAGTATTTCATGAGGATGGATGCATAGTAGTAGTAGTAGTAGTAGTAGTGATATATTATTATGTATAATTAATACTTACCGTACCACTTGGCAAGCTCGTCGGAAGCCGGGGTGACGGGGGCGGGCTTAGCCTTGGGTGCAGGTTTCTTCTTTTGGAAAAGGGCGACGGTCTTAAAGCTGGCTGCAGGACTAGAAGCCGAAGGAGCCGTCTTGGATGTACCGGAAAACTTGAGCTGGTTTCCAAGAATTTCCGACACACCCAGGGAGGACGCTGCTGCCATAGAAGCCATTCTTGCCGGAAATTAAACCTTTAGCTGTTTTTGTTTGTCTGCGATGAGAATTGATGACAAGGGAGAGGTCCTTGCTAAATGGAACTTCTCGTGGATGTGGACTTGCCACGTAGGATGTCTCTGATTGGTTGGAGGAGGGAAATGAAATCTGATGCTGCTATCATATAGGATTATCTCGATGACGTGGCGGATTACGATATTTGAATATACTGCATCTGCATGCATGATGATGGCCCTGCATTAGCTACGGAACTTTTTGAACTTGTGGATCAGAAAATGCCGGATAACATGTCAATTGTTTTCATTCTAATTTATACATTCCTATTTCATTTTCTTGTATATACATATTACTAATATTTAATAAAATATAATATCTAATTTATACATTCCTACTTCATGACATTTTCTAAGAACCCTAACTAATCATCTAATCACAAAAATGGCCACCCAAAATTGGGGGATTCAACTATCTATCTATCTATTATTATTATTATTATTATTATTTTTTTTAACTGACCAACATTTCCAAAATACCTAATTTCGGAGTAATTTATATAAACATTCTCTGCTTTGGAATTATTTTTACTGGTCCTTACAATTTATAGAAATGATCCCTATAGTGATAGGAAAATTATAGAAATGATTGATTTCCGCCTAATAGAAAAATTACGTAATTGATCCTCTTCTTCACAAAATTATGAAAATAGTCATACTTAATAATAAAATTACAAATACCCTCTATGTAAGAGGGAAGAAAACATTACAAAATGATATTAAACATATTGGATTAGTTAACCCGTGACAATACGAAATATTATACTAGTTATAAATAATTTCATGTCGATAAAGTCATGAAAAATAGAATAGAAAATTTGTACGGTTACTTTTTGATAATTTAAGACAAGGATAATAACTTAAAAGGGTAATATATTTTTCGATTTGTACATATTTGGTCATTGAGTTTATTTTTTGTTCACATTTACCCTTTCAACTTGTTAAACTGTACACATTCAGTCCTTATGACCCGTTATTTCAGGTTAACCGGTAAAAATATCTTAATAGGGTAATATATATTTCATTTTGTATACATTTAGTCATTAATATTTTTGTACACATTTAGTCCTTAATTTTTTTTGTTGCAAAATAATTTATTTTTGTTTTTGTACTCATTCAATACTTATGAATGTTTTATTTAAGTTTTTCTCACAACATCTTACATGGAACAATCATTAACGAAGTGTTTTAGGCTTTTGATGCTTATGTCAATCGAGATCTCAACTACTTGGTTGCTTAGGTTATATGTTTTGAACGTCATAAGTTTTTTATACTATCTCGGATTTTAACGATCTTTATATCTATACGTTTGTATTTAAGTCTACTACAACTTTCGTTTAGATTAATCACATTAAAAAGTAATATATTTTCTAATTACGATCTTTATATCCATATGTTATTTTATGAATGCATGTATGGATGTATTTTTATAAAATCGTAGTAAAAAATATTATATTTTAATGTGAGTAACCTTAATGAAAGTTATAATAGACTTAAAAAACGAACATGTAAATATAAAGATCGTAAAAATCAGATATCTTATGAATAAGTTACGATGTCCGGAATACAAAATCTAAGCCAAATCACAAGACCTATGCAACCAAGCAGTCGAGACCGCGATGGATATAAGCATCAACAGACCCAAACACATCATCAATCAGGGACAGATACAAGATTTGGTAGTAGGTGTTGCCGGTCCGTAGTAGGTGTTGCTAATAAGTAGAAAAAAGAAAAACAAATCGAAAAATATCAAAAAATTTACACTGCGTATAGAAAAAGCAGGGATTGTCGGTGCCACTGCGGGCACCCAAAGAGAACAATCCCTATCATCAATGATAGTTTCATGTCAGATGTCGTGAGAAAAACCCTAAATAAATCATTCATAAGTACTGAATTGGTACAAAAACAAAAAATGACTTATTTTGAAACGAAAAAAATATTAAGGACTAAATGTGTACAAAAATATTAATGACTAAATGTGTACAAAATGAGAAATATATTACCCTAATAAGTCATTTTTTCCGGCTAACCTGGAATAACCGATCATAAGGACTGAATGTGTACAGTTTAACAAGTTGAAGGGGTAAATGTGGACGTAAAAAAAACTCAGTGGCCAAATGTGTTCAAATCAAAAAATATATTACCCTTTTAAGTCATTATCCCAGACAACTAAGTAAAAAAAAAAAAAAAAAAAAAAGAACGAATAGCAAAGTTACAAATTGGTTCATTTGCTTCTTAAAAATATAAAAAGAGCCCCTACATTTTATAAAAATATAGAAATGGTCATCGTATTTCACAAAATTATTGAAAAGGTCCTTGTGTTTTACAAAATTACGGAAACTTTCCCTATATAATAACGAATTAGCATAAATGATCTATATGTTTGATAAAGTTACATAATTGATTTCTACTTAATAGAAAAATTAGGTAATTGATCATATACTTCACAAAATTATGAAAATAGTCCTACTTAATAATGAAATTACAAATACGCTCTAAGAGAAGGAAACATTACAAAAATGATATTAAATAGAGCTGACAATTTTCGACACGACCCGCGATACGATACGAAATAAATGAGTTTGGGCCGTCAACCCGCTAACGCGCCAACCCGTTTACTAAACGGGTCATATATGAGTTTCTAAAAAAAATAAACGGGTTGACTCGCCAACCCATTTATATTCTTAATTAAAAATTTTATTTTATTTTTAAATGTATTTATGTATCAAGTATTAGTATTTAATAAGTATTATATATATATATATATATATATATATATATATATATATATATATATATATATATATATATATACGGAAAGGATCAAATGAGAACACCTAAAAGGTTGAGAACGCGAGAACAAGTATATTCATTTGTGATGTCATGTATTCATTTGTGGAGAAATGATGAATTTTTATGCACAATCAACATGAATAAGTTTTTTCTTTTCAATTGAATTTAAAGGCGTAAAAATTTATCCTTTTCTCTAAAATGAATATATGGAATCACAAATGAATATACTTGTTCTCGCGTTCTCAACCTTTTTAGTGTTCTCATTTGATCCTACTCCTATATATATATATATATATATATATATATATATATATATATATATATATATATATATATATATATATATAATACTTATTAAATACTAATACTTGATACATAAATACATTTAAAAATAAAATAAAATTTTTAATTAAGAATATAAATGGGTTGACGAGTCAACCCGTTTATTTTTTTAGAAACTCATATATGACCCTTTTAATAAACGGGTTGGCGCGTTAGCAGGTTGACGGACCAAACTCATTTATTTCGTATCGTATCGCGGGTCGTGTCGAAAATTGTCAGCTCTATTTAATATCATTTTTGTAATGTTTTCTTCTCTTAGAGCGTATTTGTAATTTCCTTATTAAGTAGGACTATTTTCATAATTTTGTGAAGAATATGATCAATTACCTAATTTTTCTATTAGGCAGAAATCAATTATGTAACTTTATCAAACATATAGATCATTTATGCTAATTCATTATTATATAGCGAAAGTTTCCGTAATTTTTTAAAACACAAGGACCTTTTCAATAATTTTGTGAAATACGATGACCATTTCTATATTTTTTATAAAATGTAAGGGCTGTTTTTATATTTTTAAGAAGCAAGTGCACCAATTTGTAACTTTGCTATTCGATCTTTTTTTTTGTTTACTTGGTTGTCTGCGATAATGACTTAAAAAGGTAATATATTTTTTTTATTTGAACACATTTGATCACTGAGTTTTTTTTACGTTCACATTTACCCCCTTCAACTTGTTAAACTGTACACATTCAGAACCTTCGTTAAATATTTTTTTCCCAGACAACTAAGTAAACAAAAAAAAAAAAAAAAACGAATAGCAAAGTTACAAATTGGTTCATTTGCTTCTTAAAAATATAAAAACAGCCCCTGCATTTTATAAAAATGTGTTCAAATCAAAATATATTCAAATCAAAAAATATATTACCCTTTAAAATCATTATCCCAGACAACTAATTAAAAAAAAAAAAGAACGAATAGCAAAGTTACAAATTGGTTCATTTGCTTCTTAAAAATATAAAAACAGCCCCTACATTTTATAAAAATATAGAAATGGTCATCGTATTTCACAAAATTATTGAAAAGGTTCTTGTGTTTTACAAAATTACTGAAACTTTCCCTATATAATAACAAATTAGCATAAATGATCTATATGTTTGATAAAGTTATATAATTGATTTCTGACTAACAGAAAAATTAGGTAATTGATCATATTCTTCACAAAATTATGAAAATAGTCCTACTTAATAATGAAATTACAAATACGCTCTAAGAGAAGGAAACATTACAAAAATGATATTAAATAGAGCTGACAATTCTCGACACGACCAGCGATACGATACGAAATAAATGAGTTTGGGCCGTCAACCCGCTAACGCGCCAACCCGCTTATTAAACGGGTCATATATGAGTTTCTAATTAAATAAACGGGTTGACTCGCCAACCTATTTATATTCTTAATTAAAAATTTTATTTTATTTTTAAATGTATTTATGTATCAAATATTAGTATTTAATAACTATTATATATATATATATATATATATATATATATATATATATATATATATATAATACTTATTAAATACTAATACTTGATACATAAATACATTTAAAAATAAAATAAAATTTTTAATTAAGAATATAAATGGGTTGGCGAGTTAACCCGTTTATTTTTTTTAGAAACTCATATATGACCCGTTTAATAAACGGGTTTGCGCGTTAGCGGGTTGACGGCCCAAACTCATTTATTTCGTATCGTATCGCGGGTCGTGTCGAGAATTATCAGCTCTATTTGATATCATTTTTGTAATGTTTTCTTCTCTTAGAGCGTATTTGTAATTTCATCATTAAGTAGGATTATTTTCATATTTTTGTGAAGAATATGATCAATTACCTAATTTTTCTATTAGGTAGAAATCAATTATGTAACTTTATCAAACATATAGATCATTTATGCTAATTCGTTATTATATAGGGAAAGTTTCTGTAATTTTGTAAAACACAAGGACCTTTTCAATAATTTTGTGAAATACGATGACCATTTCTCTATTTTAAAAAAATGTAGGGGCTGTTTT